TAATTGATAATGTCAAACATCTTTTCTGATGTATATTTATTGGGAATACTAGTAAATTGTTCACTTATATCTTTTGTCCAGCTTTTACAAAATCATTTGTGTTTTTCTTACTGATACACCATGTTCTGTATATTCTGAAAGAAAATCCTCTATTAGTTATAGACAGTATTTTCCCAGATTTTAACTTGTATTTTCCTCTATTTACTTTGTGTGCATTTTCTACAAAAGCATTTAGAACATGCACACACTCAAGTTTGACATAATTCACCTCTCTGACATGTCTTTTTGTGTACTATTTGAGAAGCTTGCAAAAAGTCCACGCAAGATGGCTGAGTAGAAGCTTTCTCCATTTGACCCTGTGAAAGAGAAGAGTCCAAGTAACAAGGAGAGACTATATTCTGAAGAGAGGAAGGCGTGAAGTAGGATCATTGCAAACTACAAAAGATTGAAGAACTGAAAAGTATGAAGAAGGAGAATGGTAACAAAAGGCAAATTTAAAAAGAATGTGCAGCTTCATCCTCAGCTTCTTGCAAGGAGGGAAGGCAGGGCTGGGGAGCTGAAATTTCCACCACAGGTAAGCCAGGCAGCCTTGTGACAAACAGACTAGCAAATGCCTATAATACTAGCCTTAAACCCATTGTGAGTGTTTAATGTGAATTCTCCTGAGAAGACAAGAGAAGGTATGTTTTTGCTCCTCATATCTTAGAAGATCTATAACAAGGAATTATCTTAAGAGGGAGCCTTTTGTTTAAGACTGAACTACTTCAAGGCCTGAAACAAAAAGAACAATCATGACGAGGGTGTCCTGGAAGGTCATCCTGCAGGGTCTGGTGGAGATGACCACACAAGGTGAACTTGGAGCAGGAGAGGATCTGATGAAGGTCTGCAGAGAAGTGTAAGGAGCAGGGATCCCAATGCAGGTGCACAAGAAATATGAAGAAGGAAAAAAAGATAACATTACTTTTCCAGAAAACAACATCTTAAAAAGACAGTCAAATGGCAGTGAAGTTGATGAAATCTCAAGCAAACAAGTCAAAAGACTGATTAAAAAAGATCAATGAAATTAAAGAGGATACATAAAAACACCCAAATGAATTCAAAGAGAATACAATAAAATAAACAGCTGAACAAAATAAGGAAGACAATGCAAGATACAAAGGAATACTTCAATAAAGGTGTAGAAATCCTAAAAAAATTGAATAAAATTTTGAAAATGAAATGCTTAGTAAAGTGAATAAAAATGGACTTAATAGACATCTACAAAATGTTCAACACTATAGAGAATGCACATTCTCCTCAGAAGCCCTTTCAGCTTTTTCCAAAGTAAATCATACTTTAGAACATAAAACAAGTCTTAACAAATGGAAGAACATCAGGATAACTTCCTGTATTTTATCAGATAATAATGGAATAAAAGTAGATATTAACAGGCAAATAAGCTACAGAAAATATTCGAAATATATGGAGACTAAATTAGAATGAAAAATGTAAACAAAACTTACTGTCACTTTTGAGATACAACAAGGTAATTCTAAAAGAAAAGTTTGTAGCTATGAGCATTTATATTAAAAATTGGAGATCTCAGATAATTAATTTGATAAAATTTAATCACGCTTCATGAACTAAAGAAGAAATGGACAAAGCATACCTCAACAAAAATGTCCTGAAGAAATGGACAAAGCATACCTCAACATAATTAACAACTATGTAAGCTGGGCACTGGTAGCTTATGCCTATGATCCTAGCTATCTGAAGATCATGGTTTGAAGCCAGCACAGGTAGGAAAATCTATGAGACTCTTATCTCCAATAAACTTCCAAAAAACTTAGATTGGCGCTGTGGCTCAAGTTGTAGGACACTGATCTCCAGGACAGCTTCCAGGCCCTGAGTTCAAGATCCAAGACCAGCACACACACAAAAATAATGACTATGACAAACCTATAGCTAAAATCATTTTAAATTGGAATAAATCTTTACACATTTGGCCTGAAGTCAAGAATAAGAGAAAATTGTCCACTCTCCCTACTCTTAATGTGGTGCTCAAATTTTTAGCCAGAGTAATAACACAAGGGGGAAAAATAAAAGGAACACAAATGATTAACTTTTGCAGATGATATTTTCCTAAACTAAAAAGACCCTAGATTTGGCATCAGAACCGTCTTAGAGCTGACAAACACCTTCAGTAAAAGCAGAATTTCTGTTGTTGATACAAAACTCAACACCTTTTATATGTATGAATAACAAATAGGCCAAGAAAGAAATTATAGAAAAATGTCATTCATAATAATCTTTAAAAAAACACTTTGGAACAAACTTCACGAAGAGATGACAGACCTCTACAATGAAAACTATAAAGCACTGGAAAAAAAGAAATTGAGTAAGACATTAGACAATGGAAGGACCTCTCTTGTCAATAGATCAACAGAAATAATATTATGAAAATGGCTATAGTAGAGATTCCCATATCAAATTACAATGTTATTTTTCACAGAAATAGATAGGAAAATGCTAAGATTTATATAGAGTCATGAAAGACCCGAGAAACAGAAGCAATCCTGAGTTAAGAAGAACAATACTTTCAGGTATCATAATGCCTGACTTCAATTTGTACTACAGAGCCATAGTCATAAAAATAGCACATCACAAAATCCAGCACATAGGCTAATGGTACACAGACTCCGTAAATAAACATACACCACTATAACCATCAATTTCCCATCAGAGGTGCCCAAAACACATGTGGAAAACAGCCTCTGTAACAAATGCTGGGAAAATGGAATATCTACATGTAGAAAACTGAAGTAGATCCCTATCTGTTGCCCTGTACAAAAACCTATGTAAAATGGATCAAAGACTTTTATGTAAGACCTGAACCTTTGAGACTACTACAGGAAAACTTAGGAAAAACACCTGCAGGTACAGACACAAGCAATGACTCCAATGCATAGAGCTCCAATACATCGGGAAAAGAGCAAGCATTGACAAATGGCATTGCTTCAAAGTAAGCAATTATCTCTTGCACATCAAGGAAAACAATGACCAGAATGAAGAGATGGCAGTGAGTTAATATCCAGAATTTATAGAGCTCAAAAATTAAACAAAATAAAAATTGTGCGATTCATAAATGGGAAATGAACAGACATACTTCTTAAAAGAATTATGAATGAATGGCAAATGACCTCATGAGGAACTGATCAACATTCTTAAGCAAATTGAAATTGCACTGAGATTTCATCTTGCCCCAATGAGACTGATAGACATCAAGGAAACAAATGCACTTTTGATGGGAATGTAAATTAGTGCAGCCACTATGGAAAGCAGTATGGAGGTTCCTCAAGAAAAGCAAAATAGAACTACCATATAACCTACCTTCATAGGCATATATGTGAAGGAATAAAATTCAGCACAAAATACAGATAATCTGTGAAACCATGTTTATTGCAGTTCTATTCACAAGAGGCAAGTTATGAAATCAGCCAAATTGCATATCAACAGATGGATGGATATAGAAAGTATATTATATACAGACTAAGAAGTAATATTCAACCATAGAGAAGAATAAAACATTTGTAGGAACATAGATAAAACTGGAAAGCATCACAAGAATCAAAATAAGCTGGACTCAGAAAGATAAATATCACATATTTTTAAGTGCATGTGGAAGCTAGATCTTAAAGAAACAAAGACATGAATGTAAATTCAGGCCTACTTCAGGTGAACCCACAAAAGTTGGGAGGCAGGAAAGAGAGAAGGAGGGGGAAAACATGACTGAAGTATGCTGTATGCTTGTATGGAAAGGCTATAAACGAATATTTTACAATTACAAGAAAGGAGGTGTATGGGAATATGGGATAAGAATTAGTAATAGAGGGGTAAATATGATCAGAGTGTATTCTAAGTATGTATGGAAACATGACAATGAAATTTCACACATGTACAATTAATATGTGCTAATAAAAATACAGTAACATAAACTTCCCTTTCACTCCATATGAGAAGTTCTTCATTTTTTTCTTCAGCACCTTTACTTTGTGTGTGTGTGTGTGTGTGTGTGTGTGTGTGTGTGTGCTAGTCGTGGGGCTTGGACTGTGTCTGAGTGCAGACACAGTGGTTAATTGGTGATAAGAGTCTCACGGACTTTCCTGTCCAGGTTTGCTTCAAACTATGATCCTCAGATCTCAGCCTGCACAGTACCAGGATTATAGGCACGAGCTGGTGCCCAGTCTAATTTACTCTGACATTTAATCCCCATAAACATATATCTTATGTATGCTCTGAGATAAAGATACAACATTTTCCATCTATTTTTCTGAACGCTCTCATAAGTACCTATGTTTCCCTTGTGATTTACAGTGTCACTTGGACTATACACCATGTTTTGTTTGTCTGTCTTAGGGCTTGAACTCAGGGCTCTGTCCTTGAGTCTTTCTGTGCTCAAGGCCAGTGTTCTACCACTTGAGCCATAGTACCACTTCTGGCTTTTTCTGAGTAGTTTACTGGAGATAAGACTCTCATGAACTTTCCTGCCCAGGCTGGCTTTGAGTAGCTAGGATTACAGGCATGAGCTACTGGTGGCCTGCTATACACCATGTGTTTTCATTTGTTTGTTTGTTATTTGATCAGTTGTGGGACTTGAACTCAGGGCCTGGGCTCTGTCCCTGAGCTGTTTTTTGCTCAAGGCTTGTGCTCTATCACTTTGGGCAACAGCACCACTTCAAGTTTTTGAGTGGTTAATTGGAGATAAGAGTCTCATGGGGACTTTCCTGCCCAGGCTGGCTTTGAACAGGGATCCTCAGATCTTAGCCTCCTGAGTAGCTAGGATTACAGGTGTGAGCCACTGGTGCCTGGCTTATACCATGTTTTTAATATGTACTATTTCCACATTTTATTAGTTGACCTTATCCTATTCCATTGTCACATTGCTGTAATTATTCTAAATTTATAACAAGTATACATTTTGACTTATTTTGCACATTTTTGCATTATCCTTTCAAGCAGGTTTTAGGCTCATCCTGAGAAGTTCTGTGGAAAGCCCTTGGAAATTTTGCATGGATTAATTCGACATGGTGCTTACTTCATTTTATTGAATCTTCTCATTAAGAACACTTATGTTCAGGTGAATGAGAACCAATGGAGCAGAAAAAAAAATCCAGAAGTGGACCCATTAATATCTGGACAGCTGATTGATGAGACTGGCACAAAGGCAAGTAAGTGGAGGAAGGCTTGTTTTGGCAACACATGATTATGAGAAGGGCAGATCCATTGCGAAAAACATAAAGTCAGAATTGCACCTCACACCATATACAAAACAACTAAAAATAGATCAGAAGTAGGAATATGAAAAGGCCAAACTATGAAATTATAGACATCAGTGTGGAAGAAAGTCTGATACTGAGTGTGGAAAAACAACTAAATGTGAATGTGATCCATGAAAAACTGTTTAATGAGCTGAGTTTTCTTCTACTATAGACATATGTCAGATTTTCCAAATTGTGTGCTTGAAAACAGGCACTGGGTAGCACGTCACATGCCTCAATACACGAATCCACCTTTCAAGGATAGGAGAATGGACCTATTCTCTCAGCATCCAAGTGTTGTCTCCAACCTCCAAAGATATCCTTGCTGAGCCTAGAAAGTGTGTACTTAAGTTTCACAATAATCTTCTTTATGTACTGCAAACATATGGTGTGTTTTCCATCTAAAGATGCATCTAACCATTCACCATGATTATTTTGCTTGTGAAAGTGTTTTCAGGTGGTGCAGTGTCCCATAGTTTGGATTTTTTCCAGGTTGACCCCAAAGCCTTGAGATGGAGAGTGAATACAAGAAAATTCTGTTACTCGAAGGCATGGATAATCTCGATGATGAGGAACTGGATAGGTTTAAGTTCTTCCTTCCGGATGAATTTAACATCCCTAAAGGCAGACTAGAGGCTGCAAACAGGACGAACTTAGTGAAACTGATGATCCAGAGTGAGGGTGAAGTGTCTGCTCTGACGAAGACCATCAGTATTCTCAAGAAGTTGAAATGCATGAACTTGGCAAAATGTCTTCAGGAGGAAAAGGAGAAAGGTATATGGGAGAATCCCACTGCTCATGACATCAGGATAAGATCCTCAGTGCATGGGGTGGGAATTTGTTTGCTAAGGGAGTCACCTGTTCCTTTGCCTGCCTTCACTGGGAATGGCTGGGAAAGTGTTTGATACAAACCCATATTAGTTTCCACCACCTGTTCCCATCCTCAGGCCTTCACTGTCCATCTCCTCACCTCTTCCCTTGGCTGGTCTTTGTCTCCAGGCCACTGGCATTGTTAGTGCTCAAGGTACCATTTACACAGTATGGAAAGTGCCTATGCTTCACCAAAGACTTGAAAGGCAACAAATAAATTACAGCACTGAGCTGAACATGGTGACTCTTTCCTATATTTCCAGCTACTCAGGAAGTGGAGATCAGGAGTATTACTGCTTGAGACTAGAAAGAGCAAAAAATTACTGAGTCTCCATCTTAATGAAAAAGCTGTTGAAACTGCACTGTGTTGCATGTATGGAAATACCACAGTGAATCTCCCTATTATTATACATATATGTTAATGCAAACATAAACTCTCCACAGATGCACTCTCTATAGAACATTTAACAAAACAAAGAAAAAAATAAGTAAAATATAACAGCTAGGCCTGGTGCTTGTTACACATGCCTTTTATCCCAAGTACCTGGACAGCATAGGTATAAGGATTATGGTTGAGGCCAGCAAGGCAAAAAAGTGAGACCCTCCCACCTGAAAACTAAGTAAAGCAAAATGGACTAGGGGCATGGGACAAGTGGTAGAGCACCGACCTAGCAATCACAGGACTCTGAGTTTGAAACCTAGGAACACACACACACTTACACAAAGAAATTATGACACTGAAAAGTCATAACCTGGAGTAGGAAGCACCTTTGCCCTCCTCACAGACTGCCTACTTTCCTCCGGTGCCAGTCTGCCTCAGTTCCAGAGAGCCTGCCCTTCTTCATGGAATACCTTTGCCTTCCAGTTCATGGGTTTTCTCCATATCTCTTTATCTCCCATGTAGATGACAGTATATATTTCCTAGGACATGATGCCCATGTTTTACATTATTTCATCAACCACAGATCAATCTCAACATATTATCTACATTTTGCATAAACTTCTGGTTTTTTTTTAAATTCCTAAGAACAATCTACATATCCTGGCTTTGTATCAGTCACTACAAAGAGCCAAGGAAATAATGTCTTTCCCCAGGAAATCCCAAAGTGAGAGACTCCAACTTAAATAGGTTTAAGATTTTTAAATAAAACTGAAACAGTAAAGGCAGGAGTGACATTGCGCCAGGTGCATTATACTCATAAATTGAACTGAATTAAAACCCCTTTGTACAACTACTTAAAGATAATTTTAAGTCCAAAATAATAACTATTGCAGAGTATTTGTGTTTATACAATGCGAATACAGAGTCCCATAAGCGATTTCTAAGAAAGTTAAAGACAAACTAGATAATTTAAGTGGAGACATATGCACATAATTCCACAGAAATATTAAGTATTGCTTAATATGCAAAGTACTTACCTCAGACTTAAGTGCTAAGCACTATTTTCATTGGCTTAGGGAGAAGTTAGAAGATGTACTTCCTAGATCTGGCCACACAGTGTCAGTAACTACACATAATTATTCTAAGTAACAGCCTGACGTTTTATCTAGGAGTGTTGGCAAACAGGCTTAAGATTCTCAGGAATTTCTTAAATAAGATTTCCTCCTCCCCCTCCCCCTCTCTCTCACCTTCCTTATCCCCTCACTCCCTTCTTCCTCTCCCTCCTTCTGTTTCTCTTCCTCCTCTTCCCCTCCTCCTCCCTGCTTCTGACTAATACCAAGTTTCCCTCAGTGAAATCTTTCTTCCATTTTGCTATTCTAATGATTCTGGAATTTAATCATACTGATTAACTAAAAGTGATTCCGAGTTAGGACCAGATTGGACACTCATCAAGCTGTGTATGCTGTACAAGAAATGAAAATCACAACCAAGGTTGAAACCTTCTTGGTATTTAGCAAGCTCATTTGTGCTATTTCCTAAGAAATCAGTGTTTGTTTTGTTTTGTTTAAGTTTCATCTTGGATTTTTGATGCAAATTCCCTTTCTCATGTGTGTTTGCATGCTGCTCTTCTTATGAATTTTGGGAGAAATCTGAAGAGTCAATGGTCAGTACATGAGAGAGGCTGCTGTAGGAAGACATAAAAATATTAAGGCTCAGAGGCAAGCCAAGAAGGAAGCTAAGAGAATCTGATCGAAGTCTGTGAATGTCCTGTAAAGTTAAAATAATTGGGGTGATAAATCAAAAAGCAAAAGAAATTATGCCTCTGATTATTAAGGGATTTATGGTAGGATGACACAACACTCTCTTCCAAACATTCCCTTGGCACCATTCTCTACGAGACAAGAACTAGTTGATGGGATGGTATGGAATGACATGGTAAAATCTCTGCCTCCTTTAGCTTATTTTGTTTCAATATAGAAAGGACATTTTAATCTCTGTACTGCTCTGAAAGTAACCTTATAGAACTAACTTACCATGGGAAGGTTAGTTTCATTTTATTCTATTTTATTATTGTTTTGTTCTGGTATGGGGAACTTGAGCTCAGGACTTGGGTGCAGTCACTTAGCTTTTTTGCCAAGGCTAGTGCTCTACCACTTGAACCACAGGTCTATTTTCAGCTTTTTGGTGGTTAATTTGAAGGAAGAGTTTCATGGATTTTTCTGCCTAGACTTTTCTGCAGCTTTGGGCTGCAATCCTCAGTTCACCATAGGTGTGAGCCACCAGTATGTAGCTTGACTGAACTCTTAATAACTATCAAGAACTCTTTTAGGTTCTGGTCATGAAGCTATTCGTTTTCAAGAACATGTAATTTAACTTCTATCTATTTGTAAATTTCCAGGTTTTTTGTTTGTTTGTCTGTTATTGACTTCTAGTTTCAGGTTGTTATGATTGAGACATTCAATACATTTTAAGATTTGTTTTGTGATCTAAAATGTGCTCTTTTCTGGAAAGTGTTGTGTGTACTTGAGAAGACTGTGAATTATCTTGTTGGATGAATGTTCTATATATGTCTGTTAAGTTCCTTTATTCCAAAGGGTAGATCAATCAATCCTAATGTTCCCTTACCAATTTTCTATCTAGATGATTTGCCCATTGTTGAAACTATGGCACTGAAGTCTCCTATTATTATATTGCAGTCTATTTCTCCCTTCAGATGATAATATGTATTAATATGCACACATACATATATATATTCTACTAGAGGATGAATATATAGTCATAGTTGTTATGTTGTTTGATTTATTGACTCATTTATGGGTTTATAGTTACAGGAATTGCTTCTTTGCTCAGTGTTTTAAAGCCTGATAGAAGTATAGATTTTGCTCTTTTCTAACATATTTGCATAAAATATCTTTTCTATCCCTTCACTTTTTGTATATTTCTACCCTGTGAGAAAGTAAGCATTTTGTAGTCAGCATGTAGTTGCTTATTCTTTGTTTATTTGTTTTGTAAATCACTTAACTATGTTTTATCTTTTGATCTGAGCTTGTATCTTACTACTGAATTTTCCAGGTCAGCGTCTGTATGCTCTAGAGTTTCTGTTTTATTTTAGAATATTATTTTTATGTTCTTGTCACACTTCTCACTTTGGTTGAGAATCACTTTCCAAATTTCTTTACATGGTTTATATTTTCATGTAGTTCTCCTGTCATCTTTAAGGCATTTATTCTGAATTCTTTTTTAAAAAAATTCAAATCATAGATGTCTGTTTCTTTAAGGTCTATTTTCATTTTACAGACACCCAGGAGCACAGATGAGAAACTTTGTGGTAAACCTCAATGAGGGAAATACAGGACATTTTCCTGAGTCTAAATTTAGTCCAAACCTGTCCATCAGGTTTCCATGTGAACATACACCTATTTTTTAGTAGTGTTCTATTTATTTCCCTGATGCTTTGTGGTCTTCATACCCTTGCATTGGTATCTGCTCAACTGAGAAAACAATGACTTTTTCTGGCCTATCCAGGCCTTTGTAAGTGCTTTATGGCCAGGATAGGATAGTCACTATTTAGCCCAGGTGGACATTTTGTAGGAACCATCTGAAATCAACCTTAGGTAAATACTTTTCTGTCAGGTTCTAAAATTGGGCTGGGCTATTGACTCTGCTCCAAGGTTGAATGTGGTTGCTCACTCCATGGCCCAGTGAAATCCCTGGCTGGCTACTGCAACCAGGTGCTGATGTTGACTGGGCTCTTTGATCATCTTTCATTGGACAGAGCTGTGGGCTGCAGTCCCTGGATGGACACTACTTCTGTATGGAATCTGCATTGTGGGTGAGCTGCACACTGGGCTCTGAAGCTGGTCAATGTCTTTGAGGTTGCTGCTAGGCAACTCACACTGAGCAGGATGGGAGGCATAGCCGACACATATACACACCCTTGAGCTTGTTTCCTATCTAGGGCCCCAAGCAAAGCCTGTAGGATGGGTGCCAAAACTAGGTTATATCACTTCTCCACCCTTCAGAAATATTGGTGGAAGTGAGCTTGCTTTTCTACTTGTGAAAGCCTTAGGGAGAGGAGCTCTGAGGTTGGGTGGGGTCACCAGGCAGCCAAGTTCAGAGGATACCCTCTACTGATATGCATACACATACACCTACTTACCAGATTGGGCAAGCCATAAACAGAGCACGAAGTCTGAGTGGGGATTTGGCCAGGGATCTGATGCCAGCAAGCCTGGAACCTGTTGATCATGCGTTCTGACAACACAATGCTATTGGGAAGTCGTTTGGGCTGGGAGTCTCCATTGGCCAGAACGTAAAAAATCACCAAGATCTGTGCCTAGTCACATTAAGGCTGGCCTTTTTCTTTTCTTTTCTTTTCTTTTCTTTTTTCTCTGGCTTGAACTCAGGGCCTGGCCACTGTCCCTGAGCAATTTTGCTCAAAGATTATGCTCTACCACTTCGAGCCACAGTTCCACTTCCAGTTTTTGAGGGATTAATTGGAGATAGGAGTCTCACAGGAACTTTTTTACCTGGGCTGGCTTCAAACCATGATCTCGGATCTCAGCCTCCTGAGTAGCTAGGATTACAGAAGTAAGCCACCTGTGCCCAGCCAAGACAGAACTTTTTCTTTGTTTCTAACTGATCCCCAGTGGTCTGGCCCTGCTAGTCTGTTTAATGTTCCTCATGGGGATGAACATAAATAATCCTCCAAAATACCTCAGCATGTGAAGCTGAAATATTCACCTCCAGCTCTCCCTGCTTAATGTGGGAACTGTGGGCCCAAGAGAATTGTCCCTGTGTGGCACTGTGTCAGCTTCGGGGAGAGGTGACGAACAAAAGTGAAACATTCCTATTACCTCCTAGCTAGTAGCTGTCTTCATTCTGTGGCCCTGAACGGTGTCTCTGATTCATGCGGAGTTATTTATCAATGGATTCTTGTCTGTGCCTAGCTGCTAGTTGGATTCCTGTGAGAGGGTCTGGGACTCCTGTTCTGCCCTTTGTCTGGTATCACAGTTTTGTTCTTTGAGATACAGTATTTTAAGTTTTCGGTCACCCTTGTTCATATCTTCTGGGTTAATATGTCATTTTTCTTTCTAAACAAACAGTTGATAAAAGATACACCGAGAATGAAAAGAAAAATGAAACGAAGTTAGTAAGGAAGAAAAGTGACACTAAGACAAGTTCTGCTGAGCACGTAGCCAGTGGAGATGGGGCCACTGCTCAACCAGCTGCCCCAGCAGTCTCTCCTCCAGCTAAGGTAGGAGGAGCTGCGTGGAGTGGGCTTAGTCCTTGGCAGAGTATCCTCTAGTCTTGGTCCCTATCATTATGCCCATTAGGGCCTTCTGGTCTTTATCTCACAGTATGCGAGGAAGATTCTACACCATAACCTGACTAATTTAGAAAGAAAAAAATGAACGCCAATTCATGGGCAAACTCCTATGGAATCTGTGCCATGGCCCCAACATAGTATCACATCATTACATCTGGGTTTTATTAGATTAGAAGAAAACTCTGACATGACCTGTTGCTTTCAGGAAATACAGTTTAGAGAACTGTCAGGATTACTACCCCTGAGGAAGTAAAAGAAGTAGGATAGAAGGACTTTCAAGTTCAATGCATTTGCAATGAAAGCATCTGCCCATGCCATGGTTACCCAGGAGCTAAGAATGTCCCCTGGAGTTGTCATAATTTGGATGAGGGGGGGCTCTCTATATATCTGCACTGACCAAGGTGAGGTGAAGGAGTTAGATACAGTTATTCTCTCAGCCTCAGTTAAAATGTTGCACAGGGCCTCAGTGAAGTTGACATTTCCCTGCTTCAGTGCTAATTTAGTCTTGTTCTACCCCTCCAGTGTCCTGAATACACATTCTATTTCCCCTGGAGAGATCCAATTCAGAAACACAATTCAGCTTACAGACTTGTTTTTCCCTTGTAGTTCCCTTTTATTCTGCACAATAAATTGCCTTTTAAGAAGTACTATTTGCTTCAAAAATAAACAAAAGGCATGTCTCATAGCTTTTAATTTAGGAGGGAAAAAAGAGGAGGATAAAATGATCTATAATTATATAATCTAAAGAAAATAATATTTGACATTGTTAAACGTCTTTCTAATGTATTTGTGTGTCATATCTGATGGTTTATCTATAAACAGATTATATACTATGTTTAGGATATGTCCTTTACTAGATCAGTTATAAGACAATCTAAAGCATGTTTAATATTTGCCTCATAATCTATTCTAATATTTCTTTAATCAAATCCCATTTTTCTATTTAAATCATTTCAATTATTTGGAAGTACAAGTATCAAAATATAATACAAATAACAATATACAATTTCTCATATATATCTTAGTATATAGCTAATTATTTCTAAAGGAAAATTCATAAAGTTGCCATTTATTCTCCATTATAAACCCACATCATTCATTTGTAGTATCCCTTTCCCAGATCCCTTCCTTCACTCACATTTATCTTCATATGCACTTTCTTATTAGGCATAGAGGGATGTCTAGAGAGTTAATGAGCCCCATGCAGCCTACTGAGATCCCTCACCTGTATTCGAGACTAAAATGCATACACAGGATAATATTGGAGAGATTAATGTGCATTGTAATATAATTGATTTTTTTAAAAGAGCATTTAATCCCTGTGCTTTAATAATGTTTCAGGGATTTGATGCATATTAATAATATATGTTATCATTTGTAATATATTACCTCACCTAGAATGTATATTATATATTATTGCAATATACTATACTATGTCATGTTGCACAGACTATTAAATTATTCTATCAGACAGCAAAGCAAGTGTTCAGATTCAAGGAGTCTGCCTCCAAAACGTGCTATCTTGCCTCATTTGAATTCTGGACTTGAAGTAGTCCTTCTAAATCCTCTCCTAAAATCTAGATAATTCTAAGTCTCAAATGTCTTCCTAACCTCTCTTCATCTTTCCTTCTGATTCCATCTGTCTTTGCCTGGCTTCCTGAAGTGTGACATTGAGTGACGTGAGGCTGGAGTCACAGCTCACATCTTCCTTCTTGTCTCCAGCCTAAACAGAAGCAGGTGGTAGCCCAGCAGGAAGCTGTGAGGCAAGAAGGCTTGCAGGAAGGCCCGATGACCGTCATGGTGCTGAAAGCAATGAAGCCCTTCAAGTTTGAGACTCAGAGGGGGCAGCAAGAGATGTTTCATGCTACAGTGGCTACCGACAGAGATTTCTACTTTGTAAAAGTCTTCGATACACGACTTACAGATAAATTCTGCCGAAAGAAAATAATAATAATATCAAAATATTATTGGCACAATACTTTCCTAGAGGTGAATACTTCTTCAGTTGTGTTGGATGCTGAAGCTGACCAAAAGGTCAATGTTCCAAACAACATAATTAGGAAAGCTGGTGAAACTCCCAAGATAAGGGATCTTCAAACTCGGCCCCTTGGAACAATTGTGAATGGAGTATTTATGGTCCAGGAGGTAAAATCCTATGTATAATTATACATTGGTTAATCACAATAACATAATCTCTACTCTGAGCATTGCTTTCCTTCTGTCCTTCCTTCCTTCCTTGTTTCCTTCCGTCCTTCTTTCTTTTCCTGTGGTGCTTAGGTTTGAGCTCAAGGCCTCTTGCTTGCTAGGCAGGTGCCTCTTGCTTGCTAGGCAGATGCTCTACCACTTGAGCCAAGCTCCCAGCCCTTTTTTTCTTTGGTTATTTTTCAGATCCATTCTTGTGTTTTACTTAGGGTTGGCCATGAATTGTGATCCTCCTCCTATACCCTCTTGTGTAGTCAGTATTACAGATATGTACTGCCACTTTCTGGTTCATTTGTTGAGATGGGGGCATCTTGCTAGCTTTTTGCCTAGACTAGTATTAAATGTGAATTCCCTAATCTCTACTTCTGAAGTAATGAGGATTACAGGCATGAACCACTAGGAATGGCCCATATTGTAATTTCTTTTTATGCTGTAGATTCTGAAAAAGGATGGCCATAAATTTTATCTACAGTGTTGTTTTTGTGTTTTATACATAACATCTGTATTTTAAGTGATTATCATTATAAATTCAAAAAGGAAAACCTTCATTGAGTAATAAACCAAGGTTTTGGGTTTAATTGGCATGAAAGATTAATAAGCAAGGCTAGGTTAAAGAAGCGACTTCCAGAAGGAAATAGAAGAGTTAGTGTGAAGAGAGTTACTAGAAATGAGGAAGCATTGAGAGAATCTAAGTACTAGCCATGTGTCAGCACAGGCTAGGTCAAGACCTGAAAAGCCACAAAGAAAGACCCCATTAATTACACTCAGGGCCTGATTGGGTTAGTTTCAGAGGAGCTGATAGGCAAGAGATATCCTATAAAATGGAAGTATAAAATGATAGGAAATCATCGTTCTTTCTCTGTTCTGAGCTTTCTGTTTAGCCAACCATCCATTAATATGGGTTCATTTGGTCCAAAAAGTCTTTTTAAATCTCAAATATTGCCAAACTCTTCCAAGTAACCCATGTACATCCTATTTCCTTTTGACCCAGAATTAATCAAAGATTATTTTTTTCTTCAATTGCTTACTCTTAATTAGGTTCTTTTCTTGGTCTTCATGGGCTTATGTCTCTCCTGGACTTAATACTTTAAATGAGTCACTTCTAACCTCCAGAATCTTTCTTTCTTCTGTCTTCTGGTCACTGGCTCTAGAGAATCTTCAACTTCTCCATCCCTCTAGGGGTTGGTCTCCCAAAAGAAGGGAGACTGGGATGAGGAAGATGGACATAAGAAGCAGCAAATTGTCAGTAAGACACATCTACCTCTTTTATCTGAATTGCCATATATCTGGCAGACTGCTAGTTTTGAAGTTAGAATTTTTCCTTATATTTCTTTTAGAGGCTGCTTCTGACACATCTTAATATCTGCTTAATATTACTTTCCTTAATCAGCTTATCAGAGACTGAGTATTGTTTTTCTTCTACAGAAAACAGAAAAAGAAAATGGTACATTATTTGGCCTCAACGATGACACAGGCAGTATGAACATATTGGTGCTTAAAAGTCAGCACAAAATAAAATGTGAGAAAGGAGATAAGCTCAGACTTACATTCTTTGAGCTGTCAAAATATAGAAGAAATCTACAGTTGATATCTGGAGCTCATAGCCAAATTACGGTAGGAACTGCATGGAAGAAAGCCAATTCTTCAATGGGATGACTTTTGTATTTTCTCTCAAAAGAAATAGGTACTTTCTGATCAGGAAATATCAGGATCTTCCTGATATATTTATACCAAATGTAGTTGTGCTTATTATAATCTCACAGAACTAGGAGCCTCCCTTATAGAAAATATATAGCCTAGACACAATTAAGATGACATCCTCTATACAAGGAACACACACACACACACACACACACACACACACACACACACACACACACTTGTTCTCACAGAGCCTCATGAAGAAATCTTACAAACACCATGAATATACTGCAGACAGCTTTCTGACAGTTGTACATTGAAATAGACAGACCATTGTCACTGTGAAGACACATTTCTGAGCCAGTCCAACCAGCCCTTCATCTATCACAGTCCCGGCTCCTATGCTGCCCTTGCAACCTCATGCCCACAGTACTGCTGGTACTTTGCTGCCAAATCATCTCAGCCCTATGATTCAGCTTTGTTCTGTCTCTCTGTCTCTTACTCTGTCTCTTTCTGTCTCTGTCTCTCTATCTCTCTGTCTTTGTCTCTTTCTGTCTCTGTCTCTCTGTCTCTGTCTCTCTGTCTCTCTCTCTCTGAGGCTCTCTCTCTCTCTTCTCTCTTTGTAAGAATGGTGTGGAGACTTGAAGGATCTGCCTATGTGCCCTGGTTAAGTAGGAATGGGTATCTCAGAGCAGACATGATTTGAGGGAGTGATCCAAGAATGAATAATGTATTAGAATGAGGGGAAGAAGGTTATATAACAAAGGTTCACATACTCATTGTAAGCAGAAGAGATGGGAATTGATCAGCTGTGTCTGT